AGTTGTGACTAGAGTTTTTCGCAGAGAGAAGGAGAAGTGTATGACAGCAGCACAGAATGAATCGAATACTCTTTTTAAATAGGACCTGCTATTGCTATGTTCTCACAGTCACATTCATGCCTGGTATGCAGGTTATAGCTTCAAGCTGTATCTGATACACACAGAAAAATTTTGATTTCTAAGTACTTAAAATTTTGTGTTTACTTGGTTTAACAAAGGGGAAAAAAATCTAGGTTATGGTTCAAATGAAGGTAGGTTGGTAGATTAACACAGTCCATACGTGAATTTACCTTTGCCATGTGTCTCTCTCCCAGGGCAATGTGTCTTCTTAGCTTGCGATATTGAAGAGGCAGTAGCTATCCTTTCCCTTCATTCTCTGACTTTTCTCCTACCTGAATTTTAATCTTAACTTCAACATTGCTGTATTCTAAATTTAGATGACTAAAATCCCCCTCCGCAACACACACACTCTCCTACATTTTAGCAACTCCCAGAATTTAATCCATGGAGTACCGCTAAAGAACTGAGGTTTCCTAAAGTAACTTGACCACTCTGTCATATACTAGTTGTGATTATATTTTAAAAGAGGAGAATAATGGTGGCTAACTCATAAGTGTTGACAAGAGGATTAAATGAGTTAATTACAACATGTAAAATGCTAAGCAGTCCCTGGCACAGAGTTCTCAACAAAGGTAAGCTACTGTTATTACTCTACATCTAAGAAGTGGCAGAATTGATTTCTATCTGATTTTGTTCATTCATTCAACAAACATTTGTTGAGCATCTGCTATGTTGCTACATTCTGGGTAGATAGCCCATGTTTTTAACCACTTATGCTTTATTGCCACTAGTTTAATGTCAAGGAAGCCATTTTTCCTGCTTTGTAAGAAATTGAAAAAGAATCACCAAAGATATGATGAGTCATGGTTCACCAGCATTTTGTTTTGAAGTCTTAAAAATAAGCATCATGGGTAGGTATTGTTTAGATAAAGAAAGCACATCTTATAGTCATTTCTGTTGATCTCAAGATAGTGCTGACTTTATGCTGGAACATAAGACAAGAAGAGAGTGTAGCTGCTAAAATAAGCTGCTTACATGGAAAGAAATTATTGAATCTGTTAACAGCATCATGTTCCTTAACTTGGGAAGCAAAGTTTTTCTCAGTTTACTTTTAGAGGACTTAGTGGTTTCATTTACATTTAGTAAACAAAACGTTTGCCTTTGAAGAACAAAATCAAGTATATAAGTTGATGGAAGTCAAGATTTTTAAAGCAAAGTAAATTAAGAAGAATCAGAACTTTCCCCTAAAGCTGTATGGAATTTGAAATAATATAGAATATGGAATAAGAGTTTTGTTTTTTTTTTAAGGCAGTGGCTTTAAATTAATATGACTTTATCATCTGAATAATAATCAGATATCTGACCAAAGAAGTTTTTACAGGGTTGGGCTGCTCTTTTCCCTCTAGATTGTCACTTCTGACTGTGCGATATTTCATTAGTGTCATTCACAAGCTGTCTTCAACATGAAATGGCAAAGTAAGGCCACCCGCAATTGTTCTTTCACAGTTTTCTGGCTTCGATGAGTCATTGCAGTACAGCCCTCTGAACCAAGCGCTGATAAGAATAGACACACAATAGGAAAACAAAACCACTGAGATCTGAAGCAGAAAGAACCGGGAGCTCAGAAGTACGTTCACAGCTCTGCTGTATTTAGCTGTGTGTGACCTTGTGCAAGTCAGTCTTCTAGGTCCCTGGGTTTCTCGGGCATAAATGAAAGTTTCTAGGGTCTCTTGCTGAAGTTAGGTCAACTTTAGAGTTTAATATTCACTAAGAGAGATAAGAGATAAAGCACTTTCAGCGATTCATGATTTATGTAATTATAGTAGCTTCGTTGACTGTTGGGAAACAGCAGTGGCAAATGAGTCAGCCTGGCATGGAGCTATTGGAGATCAGTGATGCTGTTTTTGTTTAAAAAAAAAAAAAAGAAAGAAAGAAAAAGAAAAAAAAAGACCCAATTACACATAAGTTTATGTGCCAGTGGTCAGGGTGATGCCAAGTTCCAGAAATAGCAGGTAGGCTCTTGTACGGAGGACAGTATGGGAAGGACGGTTGTCACAAACTGGTTTTCTCAGCCAAACCTCCACGTCAGCTGTACACAGGGAAGACACTTCTGTGGGAGACCATGGGGGTGTAACATCATCATCCAGGAAATAGTCCACACCAAATATGTCGCATGGGACATCATTACCAGTGACTAAGAAGAGGCAGGTGGTGTTTCGAACCTCCTTCCTCTGCCTGGTTTTTGTTCTTTTTATGCCAGAGCTGCCCAAGGGTGGACATGAGAGGCAAACTCCAGGCAAATGCGTGTTCTGTATTATAAGCTCCAGCTGCAAACCCCTGGACTAAGACAGGCAGATCTGAATCACCCATTTTTCATCACCCATTTTTCATCACCCATTTTTCATTCTGGGTCCTGTCTCATACTCTTCCAACGGCCAGAGAAGTGGAAAGAGAATTCTCCTTTCCCCTAACTAACCCTGCCTTCTGTTGATTCTGTGCTTCCCTAGACAGTGCAGTTTGGCCTGACAGACTAACATGAGTCTCCATGTATTATAGGAAGAGGCCGAATTTAGGGTCAAGATAGGCCTCATTTTGAATCCCAGCTATGCCACTTCCTGGCTGTGGAACCTGAGGTGAGTTATTTGGCTCAGGTAGTAAGTGTGGTAATATTAGTAGTCATCATAAAGGTAGCCTCATTATGTCTTCAAGAATTAAAGTTTATTGTTAAACTATATGCAGATGTCTTCTCCTTAGAGAGAGTAAAGGTGGGGCAGAAAACTAGACCTTGACCTCTCCCTCCTTCCATCCTCCCATCCTCAAGAAAATATGATAAACATCAGAGGCAGGTTTGATCTCACAGCGATGGGGAAGGATTCCTACCTCCTTACACATGCCCCAATGACAAAGATTTTTAAACTCTGTAGGCAGTAGTCTTTTTTTAAAAAGTTATACAAAACACAAAACTGTGATATGTAAAATGAGTAGAAATAAGCTTTTGTTTCTAAAAATATGGTTAAGTTGAAATTTATAATAAACTCAATAAAAATGATGAAGCAGTTTTGATTAATACAGAAATTTGAAATAGTGAAGAAAATAAATGAATGGTATGGTCTTCCCTACAACCTAGAGGTGAGCACAGTTATACCTCGGAGTCCACGGGGGACTGGTTCCAGGACCCTAGCAAATACCCAAATCCATGGATGCTCAAGTCCTTTATTATATAAAAGGCGCTGAACAGTGAACACAGCTGGCCCTTCGCATTGCTGGATTCCCAACTGCATATTGAAAACACTGTTTTCAAGTTGAGGTTGGAAGCCTGACTATAATTGCAAAATGTGATTTTTTAAAAAATTAGTCAAGTGATACTGGTCAGTTAACAAGGAAAGATAGAAGGCTTTTTATGCCGAAGCTGCCCAGAATATGTGAACCGGCACACATTTGTTCACATGTAACAGATGGGAATGAACTTTCAAATTATTGCATTCTTTTTTTCAAAATGCTTATACATTTAAAAAATAAATTTAAAGTAAGTGTTAAAATGTCTGAAACACCTCCGTAGAATCCCAAGGTTTGGCAGAAGGCTGTTTGAAACATATTCCCTTAGATCTTGTAGCACTCGGATCTCAATTTGCTGTCCGTTTCCTCTTTGGTTGTGGTGTGTAGGTGTTGGCTTATGGAGATCTATACACTTTTCAAAACTAAAAGTCATTCGATATAAAAAATGATGAAATTTGAATAATATCTGCAGTTTTGTCGACAGGATCGTATCAGTGTCAATTGCTTGTTTTGAAATTGTATTGTGGTTACATAAGATGTTACCATTGGGGGAAGCCGGGGGGAGGGTACATCTGTACAGTACTATTTTTGTAATTTTCTCTGAGTCTATAATTATTTCAGAATTTAAAAGTAAAAAAAGTCATTTGAAAACAATCATCTTCTACTTGCAAGGAGGGAGTACAGTCAGATTAATAGAGCAGTGTGTATACATCTCGCTTACAGAGTAAATTTCCATTTATCTTACCATAGGAAAAAAAGCATCTTGTCTTTTCTTGCCATTGAATTCTATGTCCTCCACACTCTTATCACTGATCTTAACTCTGTTGAAGTTTGGAAAATCAAGGAGAGCTCCTTTCTGCAAACTATTTTAGCTTGTGCTTTAATTACTTAATAAGAAAATGGTGCTGAAACCCAGAACTCCACCTGCAGTTACCCGATACAGAAAAAGGTATATGAATGATACAGTATATTTTTCGGAAGCATTCTTATGCTTAAAACAGTAGTCATTAGGCCAAAACAGTGTCAACACACCATGATATCATTATGTTTCCGTGTGTCCAAATCAGAGTGCCCTGTAGCCCGGCGTGATGGTACAATGTGATGAGCATTCTACAGTAGAAAAGAGAAAAAATTAAAGTAATTTTAAAAGAGTAAATCTTTAATCCATTCACTTCTCTGTGCATGAAGTGGAAGTGGGCATGGCGGTAGTAAAATATGATTCTCTGTTCCCTTGGATTTTACAGCGCGCTGTAAATTACTGCCTTGTTCTTTGAAAAGATTGATTGTGGTTTTGCTCTTTATCATTTGGAGAAATGCAGCAGAATTCCCTGGGCTTGCAGATCCAGGTTCCTTGTAATTGCCAATAGAGTGATTATCTCGTGTGTTTTGACTAGAACGGATCTGTGGAACTGATCACATCTATCAGACACCTGCGAAAGTGAGCTGAGCTCAAAACAACAGTTTAGTGACTGTTTTAATGTATGCTGATATAATTCCATTTTTTAAAAAAATTAGTTTATTCAGGAACATGAAAGATCCTTTGCATTAAGTAGGGGGTTAGTTTTGTGCCAGTTGTGGAGACTGCCTTGGCTGACTCTTGAAACTAAGCTCTCAGCTTTCTGGAAATCACTCTGTCTGATCAGCTTTTCTGGCTTCTTCTCCAGGGTTATCAATGCTGGGAAGAGCACACACAATGAAGACCAAGCCAGCTGTGAGGTGCTCACTGTGAAGAAGAAAGCGGGGGCGATTACCTCAACCCCAAACAGGAACTCAACGAAGAGACGGTCCTCCCTTCCCAATGGCGAGGGGCTGCAACTGAAGGAGAACTCGGTAAGATCCTCCTTTATCCCAGCTCTCAGGTGAGAGGAACATGCACACTCTGGCCCCACTGTGAGATGTTCTAGCTGAATCCAGGTCAGTAATGGAAGACAGAAAAGCAGTCTTCCCAGAAGAGATGCAGTGGGGGATATCAATCAAAGCTGGAAGTGACACATAAATGAAGAGCTGGTGTTTAGGTTCTTAACCTTTAAAGTAAATAAAACACCGATATCATATATAGATTTTGTTGCAAGAATTAGTACACATGATGTTTGGCAGTTTTGAAGAAGCCTCTTCAAGGTTTTTGTGAAGGAGATACTGGAAACTTCTGATGAAGGGTGGAAATAACTCACCATTGGCTTACAGTCCTGCTATAACTTTACTCTTTCTTTCCCCTTGCCTGTCCACTGGAGTTATCTAGTTGGAGCCAGCGCCTGACGCTTTGCAGATTAATATTTGTTTCAATTGGCCCAAAGCCCTTGAATCCAGTGGGGCCGCCCTGAAAACTGAATGCCCTGTTGACAAACCACAAAGCATTTCTCCTTTCTCAAATTTCTGGAGGATAAAGCAGATAACGTCAGAAAGTTTTGAAGAAACACTCAGTAAAGGATAGGGAATGATCAACACTCTGTCCATCAGCGGGTTATTTAGTCCTACAGAAAAGAGACATTGAATGGATGACTCAAATGTTGACTATTCTAAAAATCTTGAAAATATATTTGTATATAAATTTGTATAGGATTGTAAAGGATCTGGGATCTCTTCTTAGTTTGAGAAATAGTGTCTCATCGTTTTTCTGCTTAGGAAATAAGAATACTGATTTATTTTGTTAGTTTTACTTCAATTCAGAGTTGGAAACACAGTGACCTATGGAAACTTATCTATTGTACCTGTTTTCAAGGCTTAAAGAAGCATTGATTAGATTCCCCCTGGAGTCAGAGTCAAGGACCCAGATGGGCAGGATAGATTAATAGTGGTTAAGTGCACAGACTCTGGAGTAAGATGTTTTGGTGCTGTCTATCACTTAAGCTATTTAATTTGGGGACCGTTCTTATTCTTTGAGCCTCAGTATTCTCTTCTATAAAAAGAAGTAATAATGGTAGTAACTACCAAATATAGTAGGTAGGAACAGGCTGGTTGGAAGTATAAAATCCAAAAGTCCATGGAAAATGTCGAGCCAATGTGTTAATGAATCAATCCTTGATATATATTAGTGATAATTATCCTGAAGTCAGTCCTACTTATGCCATTCTCTATTGATAATGCCCACTGAATTTTGTATGTCTTATTTATTTGCAAATTGGAGATCACACAGTTTCTTTCATACCTACTTGACAGATTTTTGAGCTATGGAAAACGGCTCAGAAAATGTGCAACATTAATAATGATAGTTGGATATGGGTGCCGGACTGAATATTTTTTTCTTGATATGTACCCCCTGCCCTTGGGATATAAAGTGATTTCTATAAACATAAGTCAGTGTTGACATTTGGCCTAAGGCCATTTGGTGACAGCATTCTTCTTTCTTGCTGAATTCCTCCTGGAAATAGAGCCAGGAGTAATTTTTTGACTTCCTGTCACTAAGAACAGTAAAACCAGGACATAAGCACTTTAGGGTGGAGCTAAGATCCTCCGTGTGATGGTTCTGAATCTCTGTGGGGTCTGCTCCAGGAGGAAGCAAGGGGGTGCCGAGCAGAGTGGACACAACCTGGTACACCATCTCCTGCTTCAGTCACTTCTAGAAGCTTCACTTCTATCTGCCTTATACGTTAGGCTTCTATTAGCGTTTAAGGCAAAAACTGCGTTTTCTTCAATTTTGGGAAAATTTACATAACATGAAATTTACCATTTTAACCATTTTTAGGTGTATAGTTCAGTGGCATTAAATACATCCATATTGTTGTACAACCATCTCCACCATCCCTCTCCAGAACTTTTTCATCTTCCTAAATTGAAACTCTGTACCCATTAAACACTAACTCCCCATTTCTCCCTCCCCCCAGCACCTGGCAACCACGATTCTACTTTCTATCTCTTATGAATTTGACTACTCTGTGTACCTCATGTAAGTGGAATCATACAGTATTTGACATTTTTATATATGGCTTCTTTTACTTATCACACTGTCTTCAGGGTTCATCCATATGTAGAATATGTAGACTGTTTCATTCTTTTTTAAGGCCGAATAATATTTCATTGTATGTATACACATCATTTTGTTTATCCATTCATCCATCAATAAACATTTGCTTCCATCTTTTGGCTATTATGAGTAATGCTGCTCCGAACATGAGTTTTCAGATATCTATCCAAGTTTCTGCTTTCAGTTCTTTTAGATATATTCCCAGAGTGAACTTGCTGGATGATATGGTCATTTTGTTTAATTTTTTGAGGAACCACCATACTGTTTTCTGCATCAGCTACACCATTTTACGTTCTCTCCAGCAATGCACAGGGTTCCAATTCTCTATATCCTCATCAATACCTGTGTTCATTTCCATGTGTGTGTGTGTGTGTGTGTGTGTGTGTTTTAAAAAAAAAATAATAGCCATTCCAATAGGTGTGAAATGGTACCTCATTGTGGTTTTGTATTTCCTAATGATTAGTGACCATGAGATATCTTTTCATGTGCTTATTGTCCAGCTCTATATCTTTTTTAAAGAAATGTCTATTCAAATTGTGGTTTTGTATTTCCTAATGATTAGTGACCATTATTATTGTTGTTTGCCCTATTTTTTAAAAGCTCAAAATGTCTATTCAAATCCTTCGTCCATTTTTAAATTAGGTAGTTTATTTTATCATTGTTGTTTGCCCTATTTTTTAAAAGCTCGAAAAGCTATGATCTAGTGAGCCAGGTGAACCATTGAGCACTTGTTGTGTACTAGGAGCTAGATGCCGAAGATTCAGCAGGGAATAAAATAGACAAAAGTCCCTACCCGCAGGGAGCTTACATTCATTAGTGAGACAGTTAAAATACATAGTGTGGCAGATAATGAACTCTGGAGAAAACAAAGTATTGGGAAGCAAGGAATGTAAGAAGCATGAGGTACGAGAGGTAGTTAAAGAAGACCTCGCCGAGAAGGTGACATTTACATAGAGACCTGGAAGTGCAGCTCTTTAGAGAAAGAGCATTCTCACATTCTAGATAATTGCAAAGACCCTGAGATAGGAACAGGCCTTATGTTTTCAAGAGCCAGGAAGAAGGCCCGTGTGGCTAGAGCAGAGATAGTAAAGCCCGAGTTGCAGGAGATACTGTCAGAAAGGTAATGGAAGTGGAGTGAAGCAAAGTGATCTGTCAGGGCCTTGAAGGCTCGTTATCAGGACTTTGGCTCTACTCTCAATGACCAATTTATTAGCAGAGGGCACTGGATAAACTGCTTAAAAGAGGCCAGTGATTTTTCCTGTCTAGAGCATATCCCTTTAACTAAACTATGGTGGTGCTTAGGGAAGAGTAGTGACAGTACAGGGCCCAGAGCAAGAAAACATCTGCAGGAGACGAGTGAGGCGGATCTACCCCTTCCCCTCTGTGAATCTGTTTCTTTACTCGAACACGTGTTGAACACTGAGTCCACACACCAGGCCTTGGGGATCAGGAGATGAACTCAGCACATTTCCAGCCCTCCTTGGAGCTGAGCTGAGGAGGCAGAAAGAATCAGTAAGCAGCAGCACTACAATGCAGTGAGTTTTAGGAGAAAGATGGAAATTCAAGGTCGTATGGAACCCTAACTCAAAGTGGTCACTGGTGGTTTGGGAAACAACAAAGGAGAGAGGATGGGTTGGATTAGGTGAGGCTTCGTGGGGAAAGTGACATTCGAGGCGCCGTCTTGAAAAGTGAATAGGAATTAATCCAGCAGATAAGAGGGGAGTTTCTGACGAAGGAAACATGCATATGCATATGCAAAGACAGGTTGGCGAGAGAGCACAGGACGCATGTCTGCTAGTGTGTGGAACACAGGTAGTCTCTTGGAACGTGATAAAATAGGAGCAGCTGGCAGGTTTCACACACGAGTCATTTAATGCCTAATAAGCCAGAATTATAAGCTAAGGACTTTAGATAAGGGCCTAATGGAGTCAAGATAGTGATGGTAATGGGAAAGCTGACTTGGGAAGGCTGGGGGAGCAAACCTAGAGGCTGAGACATGTAGAAGTCTGGCTCAAACAAATCTGGGTGAGAAATGATGAAAGTGTAAAATAAAGCAGTGCTTAGAGCAAGGGACAGGCTCAGAAGAGACGATGCTGGAGATAGGGTTGAGGTGACGAGATGACCAACTACGAGGAACAGGGAAGAGTTTTAGCCCCTGGGTGCAGGTCCTTGAAAGTGGACTAGTGGAGTAGGCACAAGTTTAAAGGTGAGAGGATAGGCATAAATGACTTGAGTTTTGAGCATTTTGTAGGAAGTTAGATATACTGATTTGGAGCTCAGGAGCAAGTCTAGGGAGGCTTAGATGACCAGAGTTGCAAGTTCAAAGAAGGTCCAAGAAGAGAGTGGAGCTGCGAGGAAGGGCAGTAACTATGCTGCGGGCCACAGAGAGGTTAAGAAAGGTAAGGATGAAAAAGTGGGCAAATACTATTATAAGGAAGAAATGAGACCATAAGATAAATAACGGCATCGTTATTTCATTTGCAAACAGAGTTGACGAGCATGAAGGATGCAAAAGGAAGATGCATGGGCTCCCCCCAGGCTACATGCGATCAATTTTTCCCTTCTTTCTTGACGTCTTCATCCCCGATAAACTTAGTAAAGTCAAAATAAATATTTCCGCAGACTTCATTCATGTATAATATCACCTTCATCTTACTTGGATATTAAAGAAAACCTAAAATTTCCTGTAAAATAACCTTAAATTTCCAGTGAAAAAAGAAATTATTGTAGAATCTTCTTGTATGTTAGAAACATGAATGATATGCAGAGGAATTCAGTTAGAAGTGCAACTTTATATTTGATGACATTTCTTATATTGAGTGGCAGTAGGGTAGCTGAGTAGCAATGAGATAATTTTTTTCTTATTGCA